CTGGATGGGAGCCTATTGTCAAGCGTGAATTCAAGTTAATACATAAAGGTAAAGTAATTACTATACCTCTTTCAGTATATAAGTCCCAGAGAAAGATATTTAAACCAGAAATCAACCTGACTTTTCACAAGCATGATTTAGTCCAAGTATTTACTGATTCTTTTAGTCCATCTAGTAAGGATAACAATATATTTTTAGAGGAATAGCATACTTCTGCAGGTTTTAGCCCAGATTTTAGTCTATCTAGTAAGAATAATTTATTGCAAAGCAAGTTATTAGATGATGAATTAGAGATGAGTCAAAGACTCGAAGCTCAGCTTCCTCAAGACTTTAGCTCTTCTCTGAATCATGACCTGGGTCTAGACTCAAAAAGCCAATACTCTGCAATAAAAAAAAATAATTAATATATCTCAAGTTCGAAATACTTCTATATGGGAAAAATGTATAAATCACTTTTTCCAGGATATATTATTGCAAAGCAATGACCCTTCGGGTCTAGAATATGATTTACCATCTTTATCTTCTAACTGATGAATAAGATTATATATAGTACCATTTCGGATTAATTTTTTTAATGTAAGTTCGAATAATTTTGTACTCCAATTAGCCATATCTATCTTAATTTGATTGCATTCTATATCTTTCTGTTGCTTAATAGTTTTTAAGGTTTTCTCAGTAGATTTAATAAATTCTTAACGTAAATTATCTGTAGCTTCTTTGATTCTAGCATTAACCTCTTCTTCAGAGTATAATGGAGCAATATTAATATTATTGTGAAGCAATGATGGCACAGAGTGCCGAATCTCTGATTCCCCTTCAGGTCTATGAAACAAGCTATTATATCGAGATTTTTTATTTCTTTGGTATCTATCAACTTCATGTTTTAAAAATTCCTCTATAATAGGGCTAATACTACTTGCTTCACTTTCTGATAATGGATTTTTTTTTCGAGTTGTAAGCCGATTCCATCCAGCTTTTATTAATAAAGTTGGTAGTTGAGTAAGAAGACCTGAATAATTTTCATGAAAAGTCATGTAATTTGTTAATTTTCGTGAAAAGCTATGTAATTACATAAAAAAAATAATTTTATAACTCTTATTTATTTTATAACTTTCATGAAAAGCTATGTAATTACATGAAAAAAATAATTTTATAACAGAACACCAATTCCATTTTGATAACAGTTACCGACTTTAGACCTGAAGGGTTATTGCTTTGTAATATATATTAATATTTTTTTATAAGAATGTAACCTCGAGCAGTCAACAAATATTAACATCCACATGTATAACAATAAATCATACCTATAGGTTAGCCAAATTTCAATTCAAGGTCACGTACTATATTATACAAGGTGCAGTATAGAGCATAGTAGTCACATGACATTGTGACCTGTGAGGTCACGTACTATATTACATGAGGCACAGTACTTATATATAATATATTATATCATGATTATAGTCAATGAAATTTGCCTGACTCAAGGTCAGCAAAATTTTTTTGCTAATTAGCTTTTGAATATATCTAATTTCTATATAAAATAATGTCAAATGCAATTGATTTACTGAAAGAATTAAATTTCAAGCTCTTAGCTGAGATTACTGAACTTAGAAAGGAGAATGCTGAAATTTCTGTACTTAGAAAGAAGTTTGCAGAGGTCGAAGCTGAGAATGCAGAACTAAAACAGGCTATAGAAGAAAATGCAGTGCTCAAGATCCGATTTGAAGAACTAGAAAAGAAACATCAAACAGATACTACCAAACTTACTGCTGAAATACCAAGCTGAAAGATAGAGTTACAAAATTGGAACAGATGCAGACTCTAGTCACTATTAATGACCAAAATACATCTTCTACAAAAGATAAAAAATTTATTATTACTGATTCCACATCTGAACCAATACACAGCTTAACCCAGCTACAGAAAAGTAAGTCTAAATATATATTTGAATCTTTAACAGAGTCTGTGACATCTATAATGTCTTTACAACAAGATATTGTTGATGATGATCTAGCTAGTGTCCTTGAATTCGTAGAAACAATATATAAAGAAAATGTTGCACCCACCATTTCTCATGAGCAAAAGAAAGAACAAGGCTTAATTCAGGAAATATCTGCAGGTGATAGCCAAGATGATGTATTCCCATCCACTCAAGATCATGACTCCATATCTCCAGAATATGCAACTGAAATTTTGCTGACCTCAGGTCAGGAAAAATTGAACATCTTCCAAAATATCGCCAACTTATATGAAAAAGCATGTGATGCGGAATATGAATCAATAAAAGCTAAGCAGGCTGAAATTTTATGCTGAAGTAATTTTATTATAGTACTTGACAAAAGTCTTGATGAACTCATGGTTAGGGATAAAGTAAGTATGAAAAAAGCTAAAGGTCAAGTTTATGATTTTATTATTGCACAAAATCCTGGCACTAGGCGTGAATCACTATATAAAAAAATTGAAAGAGCTAGAAAAATTTACAGGTTATTCGAAAAAATAGGTCTAGATAAAGTAAAATATATTAAGTCATATAGCGCAAATGCTATTTCGAAATTTACCAATGAACAGATTCAAACGATTATTAATCATTTTACTAAAAATCCCACCAAAGAATTCATCGATGACCAGGACAATTCTTCAGATGACTTACCCAAAACTGATGTAGGTGAGAAAACTTTACCGACAATTGAGGTGAGTACACTAACCATATCTCAGCCCAAACTTCAAATTTCAGCAGAATTAGCACAGTCAAAAGCCTCCTACGCCCCTCCAAAACTCTTCCCATTCAAGAGAAAGTTATCAAAAGAGATGCGTAATCCAGTTATTAATAAACTAACCTCACATTTTACTGACTCACCAAAGTTAGATAAAAATTGTAGTATTGATACTGAAGGTGAGCATCAAACTGATTCCTATTGGGTTCTCGGACCACATTGCCCACTATGTAGAGAAAATCATATGAGTTTATATGGTAAATGGTGGCTAGATAGTCGAAGTAAAAATACATATTATTTATATTGCACTAATTTAAAAGAGCTAGGAATTCCATACAATGATGTACTAAAAGCATATTCTGATAATTCGGAACTGATTCAAGAGTTAAAAACTCGATGTTTCACAATATCCATCCCTTGGAATAATGCTCTTTATTTTACCAGATAAAAGTATAGTCCTGGAAGCATAGTCACTGTATGACCTTGTAAGAAATCATTATTATTACGTATTTATCAATAAAGAGTTAGAACGTCAGTCCGCATCATTAAGATTCTAATACATCTCAACCGTGACTCAACTGAGGTATGACTTTTTTCATATAATATATAAGAAAAATTTAACCGCGACACAACCACGACTCAACTGAAGCATTTTGGACTGAGCGATCTTAAATAAAAATAATTATTATTATGCGTATCAAATATATAAGTGGTATGATTAGTATAAACCAAAGGCTGATCGATCTACTGGCAATCGTGAACGATTTACAAATAAGTAGCTAAGCTTAATTTGATCAAAATACGAAATTACACTTTTAAGAGCTATTTTGCATTTATACGAAAAGTCTAATTTTAGAAATTATGAATAACTCTTATATAGTGATAGTTATATTTTGTATCGAATTTAGATACTACTAGCCGATTTTAGCAGAGCAAGCACAAGGTGCTAAAATTAGAGGTTTCAAAATTAAAACTGTTCTGGCAGGCTCATAGATAACAGATATACAATTAAATTTTATAAACAATCAGGTTTTAAATTATCTTGATATTCGTATCTATCTACGGTAATTAGCCAATATAGTATTATGCTCCTTCTTGAATTTCATTAGTGCATTTCGAAAATCAATAATAAAAAAAAGATATTTTTATACTGATCGTCATGCACTTTAATCGATGTTTGGTTAAACACTCTCATACAATAGATAAATATAGTAATGTGAGATGTATATGATTTTAAGTATATTTTTACTGCATATTGACCAATTAGTTATGAGATATAGCGGACGTAACGTATGTATGTTGAGAAAGTGTAAATAATCCTCTGGTCCTGGATAATACCAATATACACTACAATACAACACTAAATCTACTCTAACCAGAACACCACAACTAATAAAACCAAACCCTAATAGTGATAAGGCAACGATTGAAGCGTGGAAAGACTTGGTCTGAGTAACCAGAGTTAATTGGGTTCTTAGCGATAGTGTCAGATTAGAGCTCTTGATTACGTCACGAATCTCTTTACACAGAGTCACGGGATTTGGTCACGAATTTCAATCGTTATTTACAGATTTTACTTATCAGGGGGTCAGATCACAAGTTAAATACTTTGATTTCTTTAACTTAGACCATCGAACTCCCTGGAGTTATTTTATTGCATGCAAAAGGCAGTGCTTTTATACTTTTGCACTACTTAGTACAATGAATATATTCGCTAAATCACACTAAATACGATAAATCGACTAAATGCGAGAAATGCAATAAATGCCTTAAATTCAATAATGATAAATTGCATTTTTCGAATTGCACTATTTTGGTAAGGATTTTCCTCTTCCTTCTATTTTTGACCGTTGTTTCATCTCCACACTAATACTAATTTTTGGCTAGATTCGATCTGAGCCAGCATACAAAATAAGCCGATATTCACCCGATTTGTTAAATCTAATATGTACCCAACTTTCCAGATATAGAAAATTCTATTATCAAATATCGATTTATCCTTTCACAACGTACGTATGTACGTACATCATTAAAAATGTCATATAAATTATGCGGAATTTTTATCAGATTGAAAAGTAATTTTGATAATTTTATTCTATAACAAATACAGTTATGTAATACAAAAAAATCATGGAGAAAGAGTGTGAACCAAGTTCACAGTATCATGTGACTTGTGGCGCAGTAAAATCAGAATATAAAATTCTGATGGCCACATGAAATTACCGTTACTGCTTATTTTTTATAACCGCAACTACTATATGTTCAATGTTATCTTTGCTTAGTTTCGAAATTGTTGAAGCAGAAATACTTACTCGTTGTATCAATTGCTCAATCATGTTATCATTCCCACCAATACTATTAAAAAGTTTATAAATTTTTCGAGCTTTTTCTGTATTTTTTCAAAGTGTTGTCTCAGTAACCTTTTGTGAAAGTTGATTCCTAACTTCGTCATTAACGAACATCTTGGCAGTTTGTTTCGGATGAAGGGTTTTATAGTAATTTAACCGATCTTTATGTGCTTTTCCAAAATTATAATAACTCCTAATAGCCTCTTGATTCATTTTTTTATTTTGATCTTCAGCATTAACAATTTTAATATACAAGTCAAGAAAATTAATCGAGTTTGTGCTTAATTCAGAGGCTGATTCTGTTTGAGCAATAGTTTTTACTGGATCCTTAGAAGACAATTCTTTTATAAGCTCCTTTATTGTAAGCAATTCTTTTTTTATCTATTTTGTTTTTTTGTTAGATGGTTGATTAGAAAATAATATGTAATCTCCAGTACGCTTTTTTGATGTATCACTTTTTTGTGTAATTATGGGGCTTTTAAATATTGTAGGTGATGTAACCATTAAATCGAGATCCTGACTTCCAGGCATGCTATCAACTACAGATTCTATCTCTTTCTCGCAAGTTTGTTTCAGACATTTTGAACTGATTTTAATAGAACTTTCGATACAATCTCGATGAAATATATGACCACAGGTAAGTAAGGTAATT